ACACACACACACACACACACACACACACACACACACACACACACACAACAGACAAACACACAAACGCACAAACACACAAATGCACAAACCCACAGAAGAGCATACTACCCGTAACTCTTCTTCTTCCTACCACTCACTTTCCCAGCCACAGTGAATTCAGCGTGAGCAAGCATCAACATCTCACGATAATTCTTTTGCGGGAGCTCTCTCTCTCTCTCCCTCTCTCTCTCCCTCTCTCTCTCTCTCTCTCTCTCTCTCTCTCTCTCTCTCTCTCTCAAGTCAGGAGTCAGTCACTTGAGCGGGGAGCCCGACTCTCAGTACAGCAGCCTAGTTGAGTAATTAGGCTGGGCAATGCTCACTGCTACGGCCAGGCCTATAGAAGGCTCTTTGGGCCTGGTCGGTGCCAATCGAAGCTTCTACGGGGTGTGGTACTCTGTCTGGCCATCAACTTACAGGTCCTACAATAGTACGCAAGAGGGCCAGCAGAGCCTTCAGGCCTATAGGCCCAGTAAGACATTTGAGGACAAACCCTGGACTATTGGTTTGTTAGTTATGCTGAAAGCAACATCAGACAGTTTCAATCATGGACAACAAAATCTGAGATTCACAAACAAAGACAAGGACATACACAAAAATTGCAGATAGTTCGTCTATATACACTATGTGACAGTCTGCTATAGTCAGCAGCTCTAGTCTTCGGATGACCCTAGGACGCTGGATATTGGTGTATTTATGTGGGCCCAGGGGAAACAAGGAAAATCACAATGTCGCAAGACTCGCAACGTGTCAAAATCGGAACTCCTTGCACCGAAATCATACTTCATAGCCTTGACTTGTAACCTTTTTTTTTTTTTTTTTTTTTTTTTTAACATCAAAGCAACCTATCCTGTTCGTCTCATTTCGTGCCGAGCTCACAGAATCACAGAGATCGTAGACTGGTATGTACATCCTGCACCCCAGATACGATCCCACTGGCAGCACTATATAGGGGAATTTACGATTTGCTAAAATCCGCTGATTGCCGTTCTGTAGGAGTGTATTATGTGTGTGGCATTGTGCGTGGTAGGGAAACAATACTCTCTGATTGAAGCTGGGCCACACAAAAACAAAAAAAAAAAGAAAAAAAAGCAAAGAAAAAGGAAGACGACAATGGAATCCGATACAGAGAGCCAGTTCGCTGACCTGACAACAGCATCTCTGAGTCAGAGAAAGATGAAGAAGAAGCAACTGCGCTGAGTTGGCGTCCTGCACAAATCCTTAGCTATGATCATGCGCAGGCATGGTAACCGTTTCATTCCAAACACCGACTTATCGTACATCGGCGTGGCAAAAACTCAGCGATGCGGATGACCAATTCCTGCGGTAGATTCTGCCAGATTGTGCCCTTGAGGATTCGTCTAAAGTGTTGGCATTGAAACTCCACCACATCTCTCAGCAACGATGGTCGAAGCCGGTACTTGTCGACGACTTCATCGAACCTCTTGAAGTCCTTGCGCGCTTGACCGCATATTGGCCCCATGTTAGCGGCAATGGGAATCAGACGTTCAAACTCCGAATGCGTAGAATAGATAATCCAGTTATGTTGACAAAATGACGCTTGTTTAAGATCGTTCACTGATTTCAACTGTTCGGGAGTGAGCTCAGAAAGAAGTCTTCTAGTCTCGGGATCGAGGTGGTGAGAAAACTGTCGGCAATCCCCTATGAACTTCGCTCCAAACAACTCATCACACCAACACAGATCTATCAACATCGTAGGGATGTCTCCATGAGGCTTGTACCGTTCGACAACCCCTGTGAGTGTTGACCGAACTTTCGTCCGAAACCTCCAGCGAATTTTCCAGCCTTCTTCTTTATTGATGGAATCTGCAATCAGGGCCCCGTTTTCCCGATCGCTGACCTCAGCGCACCAAGACGGGCCGTTCTCGTCATTTGGCTTCTCCTCCAACAATAACATTCGCAAAGGAAAATGCTGACCATCCATTCCAATGAGATCGAAATCAATCTGGTGTAGAGTCATAAAAAGACTCCGCAACTCGGCACAGTTGCGTTCGGCGCGCATCCATCGGCCATAGTCATACAATCTCTGGGCAATGTCCGTATCACTTTCATGTTTCAAGTTGGTTCCAAAACAGCCAAAACAATTCTCTAGCAGATCTGAAGTAAGGTGCTCAAAGAGGAAGTGTTGCAACTCCTCACAGAAATCTGACGGTTCCAATTCACTCTCCAAAATGTTGTGGTACTCCTCAGGATCTTCTGCCGGCTCACCAGTTTGACAGCAAAAATCCCAGTAGAGTTCGTCTGTGTACTGTTCGAAAAACATCAGTGCATTCTTAACAAATGTGTGGCAATCCGCCGAATCGCCACCTCCGACGAGTCCCTGCTGCTTCAACCGATTGGCAAAGTATTCCGCATGAGCGTCATCATCATCAACATCGCCATCATCATCAGGCTTCATTTGGAGGTCGATGAAGTGTTCGCACCATTTACTAAGTCGGCAGGTGTCGAAAGATGCGACCTGCAGCGGAAGAATGTGATATTTCTCAAACACACTTCCTTGAAAGGCCGTGCGGAAGTCAAGCACCTTAATATCTTCCATACCAACCACACTTTCCCCCTCCATTCTTCCTTTCTTCTCCCTTCCTTCTCCCTTTCTTCTCCTTGTTGTTGCATTCATGGCAGTTTTAATTATTCAAAATCTTCCAGAATGGTGACGCAACTGCACAACGAAGACAGGGGCAACGTTGTAAATGCAAAACWTAMAAAAAAAAAAAAAAAAAAAAAAAAAATTAAAAAAAAAAAAAAAAAAAAAAAAAAAMTTGCTAAAATGGAAAAMAMAAAARAAWAACAAMWTAGGAAAGGACCAATAGAAAGATGATCAGTTTATTATTTAATTATTTGTTTCAGTGATATCACAATACTACCAAAGAAGAAAAGAAGTCAAAACAACATAATTTAATTACCCTTGAACGCGACTGATTATGATCTTAATAGTAAATTCAAACTCGTCTTCTTGTCACTTTGTCATGCCTGCAAACAGCGGTACAGCAACTGGCGACATGCGCCCACACAGTACTCAAGATATCGTAACCAGATATGAGTTCTCTTCAACTGGCTATGGCGACTGGGCGCCCACACAACTCACTGTTCGCAYTCTGGATCACCCTGGATGTCCCACACGCAACACTCAGTATCATGCACAACACACACACATACTATGCTACAGCTATGGCAGCGCTAGCTGCCTCTACCCTATCGCTACACTACACTTCTCTGCCCACTTCGTCTTCGGGCGCACTGCAGACCGCCTCGCACAAGCTGCTAAGGCAGCGCTTCCACCTGGCATCCGCAGGGATGAATGAATGAATGGACGCAGCCTCTTGATTTATACTTCTGTGCTGCATTGGTCTGCCCTGTGTCCCTGGCCCATGGTGCACACAGTTCCCCCCGTGGTACTTGCTGGACCGGACTGGTACTTTCTAGACTCTCCCTTGACTGTATGACGRCGACCCTACGACGSAGTGCAATTGCACCGGGGTCCTACTATTTGACCTTSCCACTTGTCCTCATCTCCAACATGGGCTTGCTTTAGTCACACCACTTGACCACTTGCCTGCACCACTTGACCACTTGCCTGCACCACTTGACCACTTGCCTGCACCACTTGACCACTTGCCAACCTTCTAGAAGGACTGCAGCTAGCCTTCTAGTCTATAGGTCTACGGATCGAATCCTGGCTACCTATAGACCTACGACAGACCTACCTACCACTGGCGGTTCTACAGGTCGCAGGTACAACTCTTCGAGTTGACGCAGGTATTGTACACAGGTAAGTTGGGGAACTAGGGATCGARCCCTGGGATCTACCTCAGCTACCACGAATTGGTGAATACCGTTTCAATAGTCAATAGCACAGAAAAAAAAAAAAGAAAAAAAAAATGAAGAAGGTAGGAAACACAGAGTTCAGATGCTCTCTCTTAAAACAGGGGAGGAGGAGGAGGAGAAGTACAGCAGGAGAGGAGGCACAAAAAAGAAAAAGCACACACTGTCATAATTCTAACAGTCCTTTTTCTCAAAACATTTTAAATTTACAGGATTAAAAGTCGAAGAGGAGGAGGGGGGGGGAGAGGGAGGAGGAGAGAGGAAAGGAAGGGAATGGGGGGAGGAGATCAGCATGAGAGGGCCCGGGGAGGAGGACAACTCGGAAGAAAAGAAATGAGCTTCTCAGAATCAAGCAGATGCGGCAGCAACAAACAACGTCAAACATCATCAGAGAATTTTGAGTGGGATCACTTTGTCTAACAAGCTGTGAACCAACAATAACTATTAAAAATAATATTTCCTTCCTTCTGGGTCCTCAGCGCCAAACGAATTGCGAAGTGGAATTTACAGCAGTGGGAAATAATTTAAATAAAACATTGAAATTTGAAAGTAACTAATGCAAGGAACCTGGTCCACTGGCAAGCAATGAGAACACCAATCGTAATCCAGGCTGTGAAATCTCATTGAAGACCCAACATGTTTGAGGCGAGTTGCAGAATACCGAAGCACATGCACACCAAATCAAGAGCAAACGGAACCGTTACGCTCGAGTGTCTTCACACAACTCACAATGACATCCCAGTTGGAGAAGAAATCAGGATCCCGATCAACCCCCTTGGGATTTTTAATTTTTTTTTTTTTTTTCAATGTAAGGTCGAGTCTCATACATGCTAGGCATTGCTAGCCTCTACCACCTATCTCGCTGTCCACATGTTCGCTCGCCCAGTGCTACTTGAAGACTTGCTCATACCCTTGAAGACCCGTCGGCACCAGACCCACCGGTGGTTTGTACCAGGTTCATCCGGCGCCAAGACCAGGTAAGAACCACCCAAATTGAATCTGGACTGGTGGTGCTTACCAGGTTCATACGCCAAGACCAGGTAAGAACCCACCAATCAGGACTGGTGGTTCGTACCAGGTTCATCCGGCGCCAAGACCAGGTAAGAACCACGAGACCCACTGCCTTACTTCGTTCCTGACTCCCTGATCTCCACACTCCCCAACCCAGCTTCGAGCGCCCATCTATGGCTATGGCTGACGCTAACCTCACAGCCACTGCAGCTGCTCTCTCTTCCGTAGGGTGCTGCTCCTGTTGTACCGCCAACAGCACACCACACTTGCAGCAAATGCCCGAATGTGTCTAGGCCGGGCGGCCTCCTCTCTTTTATTCTGGACTGGAGGCCACGTGCAGGGCAGTTCCTGAGCCTACTGGGGCCTGCAGCGCTGCGCCAGGGGCCCACTGCAGCCTCTGTAACTAACTTGCAGGCTGAAGCCGCTGAACAGCAATTTCGTCAAAACGGACAATGTCATTTTTTATTATTTTCTGAACGAAATTGAAAGCAGCTAAATTGGTCCGATTCAGGTCAAAATTTGTAGCTTTTGAGGGTCCAGCATTCTTCAAATGCCAACCCCCTTGGATGTATTTGGACTTAGCTGGAGTCCAGGGGCTCCGACGTTTTAAGGATGCCGGACCCCCTGGATGTATCTGGACTTAGCTGCAGTCCAGGTGGTACATGCGTTTTAAGAGCACCGGACCCTCAATTTCGTCAAAATTTCGACCTGAATCGGGCTCGGGCTGAATCGGGCCGAAATTAACGGCTCGGGCTGAATCGGGCCAAAATTAACAAATTTCCGTTTTGACGAAATTGCTGTTGCTGGGCCCACCAGTTAGTTACAGCCTACAGGCACTGGCCTGCAGCACTTCACTCAGTGCCCTGACGTCGGCCATCACTTACTACTAGGGCGGGCGACAATTTGCCAGGCCCACCTGCACTTAGGGCAGGCATGGCGTAGAGCCTCTTATTCCCCCCCCGTCTAGTTTAAAAGCCCTTCGAGATTCCAGTCGTTGCTGCCCAATCAGGTCCATTCATAGTGTAGCACAATCTGCAGAGCAGTCGTCATCAGTTTTTCCCTTGCGAACCACCGAGTCTATCCTCCTTAGAATAGGGGTGATGCCATAATGCCACCCAATACTGCATTTAAGGCTTCAATTGTTGTCCCCTCCCTAGCGGCTTTCGCACAGGCGTCTCCTTGTCTTCCATCATGCAATCTCCTTGTCTTCCATAGTGCAATCTCCTTGTCTTCCATAATGCAATCTCCTTGTCTTCCATAATGCAATCGATGTCAACGCATCCATCCACGGTGCGAAGGGGAAGCATTGGTCTTCGACAAGAAAATTGAGCAGTCTGGGTGAAGGGGAAGCATATGAAACACAGGGTAAGTAAGAAGATTCGTTGGGCACGGACATCTACAGCGTAAGCTATGCTAAAAGGATCTCTCCCCACTATTTATCTAAAATAGGCCAGGGATTCAAATACATACTGTCACTACTCTGGCTGCATCAATTTGCGTGATATTTCCTTTTTTTCTTTGTGAACTCCGACAACTTGACCCATTCAATATCGTTTACGACCTGGAATGCACCCCCCATCTGTGCCTATCTTCCTCCGGGTGCTATCATTGCAGCTCTCTAGAGTCTCTACTCTTTCCGTAGTAGTAGCTCTACGTTCTCCTGCAAAGCTGCAAGGCTCTCAAGAGTATATTCTAAACTTTCTTTGGCACTCAAGAGGATATTCTAAACTTATTGGCACAATCACAATTACCTTAGGATCAGGGAATGGAAAGTCCAGTGGAGTACAATGTCATCCTTAGTGTAGCTGGATAGGTGTCATGATACTAGCTGTTGCTGAATGTACATGGGTATCACACAGACTATTAACAGCCAGTGGAAGTTTATAATCCCAATTTAATGTACATGATTTAGTATTACACACACACACACACACACACACACACACACACACACACACACACACACACACACACACACACACACACACACACACACACACATCGTCAGTGGGTTGCACTCTCTCCTTGATCTTCACCCACCTCTCTCTCCCGCTCCCTCAAGAGGCATTCGACAGGCTCCACCATACCTTAACGCACATACAGTCCCTTCGATCCGCAGAAGACCCGTGAGAGAGAGAACCACGCATATACTCCTGCACCCATAACAAAAGAGAAGCCATAAGAATGAGATGCTTCAAGGATTAGACCATCGAAGTATGGAGACTGAACTACGAGATTGAATAACGACTGACAGTGTGGTTCTACACTGTCAGTCTTCACGCCGTGGTAGAACCCCCAAGAGAACCCGTCAGTAACAGGTGCTCCTAGGATAAGACCATGATCCAACCTGAGGGAGGGGGAGAGAGAGGTGGGTGAAGAAGGAGGAGAGCGAGACGAAATGAAGAAAGGGGGAAGGAAAGAGAACCATGCATAGCATCCTTCCCCGAATATAACGCACGGTACGATAGCTGTATTTGGGGCAACGATGCTCCCCAGGGAACTGAACTTCTACTTATGAAAGATGAATTACGAAAAAAAAACACAAGAGAGACACATCGGTGCATCAATTCCAACAGAAGAAGATCTGTGTGCGTATGTGCGTGTCTATGCTTGTATGTGCCTTCTTTTGTGTGTCTGTGTGCCTGCATCCGTCTGTGTGCAGATTCCTGTCTTATGATCGTGACTAGGTGCGCAGTCGTGTGCGTGTGTGTAGCGCGCGCGCGCGAGCGAGCGAGAGAGAGAGAGGTTTGTGTGTCGGTGTGTGTGTGTGTGTGTGTGTGTGTGTGTGTGTGTGTGTGTGCTGTCTCTTATACACATCTAGATGTGTATAAGAGACAGCAAATGACCCAAATAACCGTACCCAGATGCCTCAAATTCTTGGTTCTTTTGGTCCCCGTGTGAGGGCACGCTCACACTGCGGTTTCAAAACCGCATATTCCCCAAAATCCCCAAAAAATGGGGTAGAGGGGTAGTCACACTGGGTGCACAATTTCGCAAAGCACTTATTCCCGAACCCTTTTGCCGCAAATTCCTTGTTCTTTTTTTCTTTTTTTTTTTCAGAAATGACTTGAGAATGGAATGGCAAGATATGGGCGCCATATCAATTGAAAATGAGGAATTTGGGCAAATGGCTGACCTGCTGGTNGAGAGAGAGAGAGAGAGAGAGAGAGAGAGAGAGAGAGAGAGAGAGAGAGAGAGAGAGAGAGAGAGAGAGTTGCCCCTACTCTGTGTTTCGAAGGTCCACACGTGTGTGGACATCCGTGCTAAATGCCGAGCACAGTAGGCACCCGCGGAGACAGAAACTAGAAAAGTCAAATGAACGAGAAAACA